AGGACCAACCACAATACTGTCTTAAACTAGTTTTAATAGTTTTAACAAAAATCCCAATGTTTGGATTATCTTTACTAAAATTGAAAGAATCGTATCATTTTTGAAGCATCATTTGAATAAATGATTTTGTAAAAGAATCAATTCTAACCAATTTTTAGTTGTAGGCTTTGTGATTGAATTCGATTAGGACACGGAGATTAAGTTGTAAAGTTCTGGATACTAGCTTAAGTGTATTATAAAAACACTTCATATAAATATAAACCATTCTAAATTAAAGTCACCAGAGATATTAAAATAATATTAGCATTCTTTGTGTACATTGTTTAGTCAAACCAAATGTTCCAAAAAGTTAAATGTTGCATTATAGCTATAGAATATAGAAATTATGATTCAACTATGTTAATAAATGCTCTACTTCAATGAACAAACACTACAATCAATCTGAACAGAACATTATCTTATATTGTTTGGATGGTCTTCTGAAATTTTCCTGACTATATAACACAAATTAAAATAAAAAATCTTTCCCGTATATACCGAGATACTGGATATTGAAAAATTTATTCAGAAATCCCCAATATCTCAATAACGATTAATCCTAATAACTTAAATATAGATATAGTTTTTACAAGTGAATTTAAAATTTCTATAACTTTGATCAAATCAAAACTTTATATGTTTGTTGTTACCCATTTCTTTTCAATAAGATATCAGATCAAATACTAAGGATTCGGATTTATCTCCCTCCATAGAAACAATAAGAACTGTAGTTTGGAATAATAGTGAAAATACATATATTGAAATCCATACCTTTTTCAGTTTAATGGACGACATCAATTTGTAAATATTTACGTATATATCTGTCAAACTTATACATTATCTTTGGACGGACAGACGGCTGTGATCATATCCGTTCGGATATTGACACCAGTACAGATTATATACATATATATATGTATATATAATTTGAAAATGTGCGAGCGCACACATTGCTTTCTAATGTCCATTTTGCTTTGGACCAACGAAAATTTACCCTACAACATGTTTTTGTCACTATAAATATCAGAGAGATTTTCAAAATAGCGATTTTTGGCACGATGAGACTAATCTGCGCCCGTTGTCGCAATATCACCAACAATTGGAAGACGCCAGCACTTTTTCACAATTAAATGCTATAAGTGGGAGGCGGTTGGAGAAGCACAATGCAGCCCAATGAAATTTAAGTAGCTCACCTTGAACGATTCAAATTTACATCTCTTTAACAATTTTAAATAGTTGGAAGAGAAAATATTTGTGACTTCTAATATATTTGATATATCTGATATATGCATATATTTTATATACTAAATAAAACACTATATCTGAGCTTAGATTATCTCATAATCACCATATGATATTTGATATAGAGATTAGAAAATCATCGTTTACGTACAATACATATTTGCAAAATGGACTTAATAGTTTGTCAAAGAAGAGAAATTGCATTCAAAACTGGCTTATCTCTTCACTTAAATTTACATATATATATTCTATTGAAATTTAATATCACTTTCTAATAGTACCTTATTCAGCTCCACTGACAGGTGTCGATTTAGGACCACTTTAAGAGAATTTGTTTAATGTGCATATATATTATTTTCTATAAGATAATTTGGAAAGATATAAATCTTCTTTGTTATAAGATTTTTGGAGACATCTAAATAGATCATTTATATAAAATGATCTCATAAGAATTTACCGTCTGTCAATTTATTAGGCTGGTTATTCCTAAATAGCTTTTTTAAGAACTTTAAGGCTAGCGCTTTTTTCTACAGTTTCTATAGCTTAGAACTTTATATTTTAAATAAGGTGAAACAGAAAACTTAAAATAAGAAAACAGTGAACGCTCGATTTAAAATAATTAAACGTCAATCGCCGAATCGGCCTCAAATCGGATTAGGGCATCAAGGAAATTAATGTTGAAACAAGTACACTTCCTTAACCGAAAATCTAATAAGTTTTTAGTTACGCCATCTTGACAGGGATTAATTATAATTCCTTTTTTTAAATATTTTTTAAAAGATACTTCAAAAATTGGTACATCTATCAAATAACCAAAATAATCTATGGAGCAGCACAGTTTCGTGTCCGAACACAATACTGTATATTGGTTTGACAAATTTGAAATTGTCTTCTATTATTTGGCTAATATTTTTTTTTAAGAACTTCTGTAGAAAAATAAAAAAGCTTTTATATCAGTAAAAATTTGAAGCAAAAATCTCAAGAAATTAGAGATATACATATCTTCCCATAGACCAGGACTGTCCAGACCAGATGCGATCGCGGACCAATAGCAATCACTGTACAGATTGGAAGGCCACAAAAACAAATGCACACGTTCATAGTTGTTTTCGACAAAAATAATGACACGGCTATAATGTTAAATTTAGTTTTATTAATTTATCAATTTAAATTCAGTTACTTGGTATACTATAGTACATCAAAAGAATACTCGCATAACTGTAGTGGATTAAAAACATGCCCTGTTTTGGACAATGCTACTATAGACAGTCAGTAAATTTTAAAAACCGTAGTTAGAATTATGAGCTTATAAGCTTAAGAATTATAAGCTTATAAGCTTATATGCCAACCAAGAATAATAATATTAGTAACTTAAAAATTTGATTTTTTTTATAGTGCATAACTTGAAATATAATGTATTAAAAATAATAACTTTTCCATTTCTATGGATTTATATCATATACATATATGCTTGTTTTATGCATATTATAAAGTTAACAACTCAGCGACTCCATTTTGACTTCTTATGTTGTTGTTTCTTAGACGATGGAGTCTAGATTTTCCTGCTACTATTATAAGTGTATGCCCTTCTGTAGACTTTAGCAGTTGTTTTGTCTTCGTGCTTTCCGCTCAGACTTCTGCTTCATATATGAATATTGAACTCACTATTGTCTTTTATGCACATATTGTGCTTTTAACAAAAATCCTAATAGTCGTGCGCATTTTGGGTATCTCTCTTTATATATCTTTTATTTGTATAATGTACCGACCACTGGGTATCATTATTCATATGCTTAAATATTGAAGTGACATTACTTGTTGCAACCTGTATTTTATTGGTACTTTTAAAATTATTATCATTTTAGTACTCTCAGTTTGTATTTCTATTTTATATATCCCACCACTTATAATAGAATAGTGAAATAGCTCTTGAAGATCGTACTCGCAGTCAGTTTTCAAAGCAGTGTTATCTGCATAGCATACGAGTATGATTGACATGTGTTAGTTGTCTTCTGAGTTATTTGTTATTTGCTATTATCTTCTTCTGATATAAATTAATCTATTGTGAGGTTAAATAATTACAATCCAGCAAATTTTCTGGTCTTATTCCGGTAAAGCATTCAATAGTAGTAGTAAAATATTTGTTTCGTACCACTGTCTTTTTAAAATCTATTGAGGAGCATTTCTTTCTTTCTTCTATTGCATTCAATACATTCTTAATTGATTTTTAAAAATTCACAACTATGGACGTATGTATTTGTTTCTGCAGTCCCTTAATATATACAGTGATTTATATTGGTCAGCGATCGCATCTAGTCTGGACAGCCCTGTTATAGTATATTCATTCAATAGAAGTTAATAGTGTGTTCCAAATCTAAATAAAAGCAACATTTATATAATATTAATTAGAAATCAACAGTTTCAGAGAAATTTGCAAATAGGGAAGCATAATTTCAAAAAATTCGTATTGACAAACGCGATATTTGAATATTGAACGCAAGTCTGTTTTTGGAATCGGATCTTTACCACCAATTACTATATTTAATGTCTATACTAAACAGAAATTTCAATATTAAATATATCTTTGAAAATATCAACACAAAAAAGTTGAAAAAATCTACACACAATACAATACCTATGTTTACAGTTACACACTCGTATATTTTAAATGTTGGCAATAAACCTGATAAAAAATCGATATATATGTACAATCAATATCAGAAAATAACTAAATCAACAAGTTTAGCAAAAGTGAAATCATTTAATTTTCACTTTTATTCACCAAAGTCCACCACTCCACCAAGTTCCATACGTAATAATCGGAAGTGCACTTTAGTACTCATAAACCCATAAACAATGAGCCGTATTTGTTTACGCGGTGATTTTCAATCATTTCATCCAAAAAACACATGGATTGCTTATTTTCCATACAGTTTTTATTTTATATGTACTTAAAGTCTATATCTTATGTTTTCTGGTTAACAACAATTGATTTAACCGTAACGTATATTTATTTTCATACCCTGCAAACAAGTACTATGCTCTGAAAAATATGTATTAAGTTTGGTAAGGTGTTTGTAACACATACCATATATAGAATGGAAAGATGAGTCGAATTTTTTGTCCTATCGTTTTGAATGAATAAAAATTTTCAAAAATATTTTAATATTTTAATACGGAATATATGTTAATACAGAAGATTATATCGACAAATGGATGAAATTGATTAACTTTACCATATCAAATCCCCTCACATAATAACTGCCGACTATTATTTTATATTTTCAAGTATCTGTTCTAATATTGGTTAAACAAATATATTAAATAAACAGTAAGTAATTAATTTGTAACAAAACCATCAATGTAAAGGGTATTAACTTTTCCACAAACCCAGAGTTGACTTTCTTTCTTATTTAGTGTGAAAATCAGTCGTAACAAAAAAGACCATAATCGATTACAGGAACAAACCTAATCTTATCTCCAAAAGTTGACACAACTAATTTATATTGTTTAACGGCTGAAAAGCATGTCATCAACCAACAAAATACATGGGTTCACTAGTCGATCCGGTTAATAAATCATTTGGAACCTTATCTCCATACAATTTCCAGCGTGAGAATTGCGCAGGATGCTAGACATGAAGTATCTATGTGAACAACTGAAAGGTTGATTTCTTCAGTTGAGTACTGTACGCGGCTAATTAACGTTGTTCGCGGAACATGGGTTATTGGACGGAATTAAGATCCTGGTTATTAAAAGATCCTGGCAAATTAATACGCTATTTAGTTTTATTTGTTTGCATTATAATTGTGATTACACAGGTGTGATTTCATTAAATGTAATGTGAGATTAAAACATTACTTATTCATTGATTATTTTTAGTATTCAAGTAATAATTCTTGTGAAAAAAAAATATAAATTACTATATCTTGTTTAAGATTTTTAGTATATAACACTAAAATTTCTCAAATTATGGATTTTAATATTTTATAAATAACTAATTTTTTTTTTATCTTTCGTTTTTCTGTTCTAACACTTCGTACGATCCAAGTTGAGATTTGAACACTAGAAGATCATTGCAATCAATACTAAGTACTCGACTAAATCTTATTTAAATTGTATTTTTAAATTCTTATGTAAAAATATAGTTAATTAATAACTCATGATCACCATTACAAGCACATGATTTCTTATTAAAATGGAAATACTGGTACGCCCCTGAATGCATTAGAGTGATTATCAAAGTAACATTTGACGAAGAAACCTTCAGTGTGAAAAGAGTATGGACAGTTCATCAAAAGGATATTAATTCAGTAAAAGAGATATAAATAAATTCCACAATTTCCTCCTTAGTTTTCCTTTACGAATTGATCTATCGCCTATTTATCTATACAAACTATTTTCTCTTTTTTTATGACAGATCTAAGAAATTTAGTCCGTAGACATTTTAGAAATGAATTTTGTCCAAATGACTGAAATCGGATAAATAAAAGTCATAGCTGCTATAAAAACAAGTTTATACATGTGTCTTTAGAGTAATTCCCAAACACGAATATTCTGCAACTCAATATTAAAATTAGGAATAGGTTATTTACATTACCTCTAGCTTTTCCATCGAAAGGTTATATTTTCCCCGGATATTTCAATTCCTTGTCTTCAAGAGTATTTCGCAGATTTTATAGATTAGTATTATGGGACTTACTATTTCATTGTAGTGATATTTATTCTAAGAATCATATGTGCATATATATATGAAGCAGATATCGAAGTCCAAATATGCAAACTACGCTTGATTGGGCTTGCGCTGCAAAAATCAAGCAAGGCGCAGTCTACAAATGGAGTCTTCTACAAAATGGATGGTCGTATAAAAGCGCTATCAAAAACATGAAGACAAAGGATAAATGTCGGATTTGCCGCTGCATACTATTCATGGAACGACATTAGCTATATAGCATACAATTGAACGAAATTCAAAGCATTGGGGTTAACCATGCTAAATTAATGAAGTCAAGAATATGAAACCTCTTAGAATAAGTCATCTAATATATTCCGAAGCCTGGTTTATTGCAGTTCAGTACTTCTTTTTTTACTCCGTAAATCGTTAAAAAAGTGTGACTAAGCATACTATTAGCTTTTATATCGGATGTGATTAAAGAGTCTAGTATATTACTTGTAGGTTTGTAATTTGAAGCATTCAAAGTGTTCTCTCTCTCTCTCTCTTTCTCTCAAAATTAATAAATAATATATGAATTGCATGAAAAAATTTGTACGATATAATATAGATTTATTTACTACTATTCGACAAATGTTGAAAGATTATTAAAGGCATTATGTTTAAAGTTCAGTGCATTCAATTAAATATCCAGAGAATGATTTAGCAACAAAATAATTGTACAGATTAATGGATTACGTCTTCTCAAAGTTAGCAGTTCCTATTTTTAAAAGGCGTGCATTATAATAAATGATCTGTTTGATTTTTCTATGTATTTGTTCTGTTTGTTGCAAATGTTATAGAATACCTACGGTGTAGCAAGCTTATAAAAACATAGATATATGCACAATACACAGTATTGAAATAAGGAATGTGTACAAGAACAGCAACTAAAGTAAGATGTACTCGAAAATAGTTGAAGCAGTTTTATAAAAATGTTGCTCCCGAGGCGGACTTAACATTTAAATCCATGGGTTAGATCATATGTGGTCAGATGCGGACCGTACTAATCTGATTTGGTTCAGTGTGAATTTTTTCTGTTTTCAAAGCTATAGTTACCATGGATGGAATTGAAGTCTTTACTTCAATTCAACTTACAAAAAATATTATATATAAAGCTTGATACGCAAACATTATCGTATTAATATATTATGACCACATGAATCCAAAACAAATTTGAATTGATTGTTGATTTTTCTGTGGTTTGTTTAAAAATTTTGGATATTTTTTTTATACGGAATGTGCACTAAATCCAGAAGCTGTCAAAGAAGCAGATTCCTAACTAACACAACTAGTAAATTAAAAATCAATTTGATATATTTATTTTTTTAGCTTTATGAGTGCTTCTCGAAACTGCAGAACCCCCCAATTTCCACACATTCATATTATAATTTAAATGACACCATTGAAATGCCCGCAGTAACAATTTGCAGGGAACCTCCTTATAAGGAAGCAGTATTAAGTGTAAGTTTACGTTTAAATACTTAAAATAATTGATTCCTATTTTATTACGTATTATTATATTAAATGCTAATTTTTGTATTAAATCAATATTAAGTAACACTGCTCTTTCTCTCTCTCTCACTGTACCATATATATTATATGGTACTATATATCAGGAACCTTTTATTTACAATCATTTTTAAAATTGATAATATTTTATCACACAGTTTCATTTCATTTAATAATATTATAATTAATTTAAAATATCATAAATTGTATTTTATAAAACAGAATATATCAAAATCCGTTTGCTCCCATCCAAGGTTTACAAATTGTTGGGCTAATTATCCATATGGAGAAGTAGCTATGGACGAATTTTTCATGAATTCAACATATGATCTTGAGGAAACATTTTCCTATCCACAATACGGGCTTGATGGTCTAATGGATAGTGAGTCTCTATCATATATTATTAATTAGTTTTTAATTTAGATTTCTATTAAGGCTTCTATATTAATTATTATATTTCACAAAAAGATTTAGAAATTACGAGTAGTATACATTTTAATATGGGTCGTTGCCATACGTTGAGACCTAAAATTGCACTAAAGCGCACAACTAAGGAATCCGGTTATTCTGTAATGCTCACACATCACATTAATCCTAACAACAACAATAAATACTATGAAAAGGATCCGGGTTGGCATATATTTCTTCACGATTATAGAGAAAATTTTACTGGTAAATGTTAAATTTTCGTTCTGGATTTAATTAAAAAAATTTTTTCTTTAGAAATTAATATGAAAGGTTCTGGGCGTGTAGAATATGTGTTTGCAGAAATTAATGAAGAAATAGAAATAAAATTACAAAGTCAATTCTTTTCAAATGTAGAAACTCGTACTGAATCTTGTTCCAGAGTGGAAGGATACAGCGATTTAAAGGTAAGCCGTTAAAAACACACTAGGATCAAAAAAAATGTATACTTACTTTTAGGGCAGGCTATATGTGTTTATATTATAAAAAATTTATAAATAGTATCAAGGCATTAAATTATACATATATAACGTTATAAAATATTTATTATATATGGTTGATATGTATTGTTAATACTACTGCAATGAATAAGAACTTGCAGTTGAGATATGCATTAATATCTTGATTTAATAAAACTATTATATATATATTATAATTATATAAATTAAGTTCAACATTAAATAATGATTTCAATAGCATTGAACTATTATATATACTATTATATAACTCTTTTACTTTTTAAAAATAAAAAAAATAATTCAAAAAAAGTTTGCTATTAAAATAACAATAATACTTTACTCACTATTTAGTGTGGTGAAGTCTGCATTTGGAAAAATTTATCTAAAATGTCGAACTGTACAGGTCCATGGATGCATGAAGTACCAGAAGATGATTGTGAAAACTATAAATCAATGAAAAATTTGACAATCGAATATGGCAAGTAAGATTAATGCGACTATATTGCTTGGGTTTTTAACTGATTTTTGGTGTTGTACTTTTTACCAGAGTCTACAACGGAGATCGTGAAATTTACTGCGACTGCATGCAACCTTGTGTATCTCGCATATATTCCACATATATTCAAAACCGTAAAAATTATAACCAAACCGATCTATCGACACAAGTGTGGATTTATTATACAACAAAATTAATTTCAGTAATGTGCATTTTTTACCTTTAGAAGAAATTCATAAATATTGTCACTATTATCACTATTATTTTTAGCAGATGATTGAAGAGAGACCAAGTTACGACACTACACAATTCATAGCCGATATTGGCGGTTCACTTGGATTTTTGCTGGGCCTATCAGTTTTAGGCTTGATAGGCATTTTAGAGAACGTAAAGAAAAATGTTTGAATTAATATTTTCTGTTATATAAAAAAATATTTTTCAGTTAACATTATTCTTTTGTGGAGGTGTTATAAAGAAATTTCAAATGAAAAATGAGAAGCGTCAGAAACTCGAATCGGATCAGCAATCTCAGCAAAGTGACGAAACCGTCGATGTTGCCACAATTTACAAAACCAAACACACGAAAAAAACGCCTGTTTAATATTAAATTATTTATAAAATATAATATTTATTATTAATACTAAAGTTTGTAAATATATTACCAACATACATTTATAAAAAGTACAGACTACTTTTAACAAAACTTATTGTTGTTGTTGTAAATTGTCAGTACACAACAATACTGTGAAGCAAAAAAACTTTTTACTTTAGGGGGAAGAAAAATGGGATTTGTGGCAAACAAATGAAGCAATAAGGACGAGTGATATTTATAGCTTATATATAGTATTAACGGTTAAGAACATTATAATAAAACTAAAGTTTATGGAGACGTCTGTGTATATTATTTAGGTTATACTTGTGATCCCTTGTAGATTCACTTAGGCCTCTCGGCCAATTGTGGTGTATTTTATTTACACTTATAAAAATTATTCTATTAAATAAATATCACCAAGGTAACCGTCAGGCTAAAGAGCTGGTTCTCCCCTATAGTTATAATAAGATATCCTCCTTTAGCAGAACAGAGTTGAGGTTGCTAGTGGGATATCTAACGGGTCACCATGGGCTACGTTACCACCTCAACAAATTGGGCCTATCCGAAGAGATAGATTGTAGACTCTGCTTGGAGGTAGAGGAGACAACCAGCCACATTCTATGTGACTGCCCAGCTTTGATCTGGGCCAGGAGGAGATCACTGGGTCGGGAACTACTAGCACCTTCCGACATTAGGAGGTTCTCAACAACCGACATTCTGGCCTTCATCCGAAAGGCGGAATGTCTTTTGTTCAGTTAGGGTCTGTTGTAGCACAAAAGATCAATCATGGTCGCGGTGCTCTGCTCAAATGGGAACTAATACCCTGTTCTTTCTTATCTCTCTTATCTAAATATCACCAAACTTTTTGGCATTGAGCACACATTTGTCATAGACCCAGTCTTTTCATATTTATTCACAATTTTGATTATAATACGGTCAGATTCATTATTCACCGCATTTCACTCTGGAATATATTCACTATACTCTGCTCGTTCTACACGAAATTACATGCAACAACACTTTGACCGTTTTTTGAACAACCAGTAAAATGGCAAGTCTGAAACTAAATATCTGATGTTTTAACTCATATAGTTCTTTCTAATAAATATACTAAAACAGTACTGCAGATTCTACAGCATGAAATGGGTAAACGTTTTTACACAACTTTAACATAATGAATCAACACTTTTTATACAAAAATAACGAATAAAATACAGGATAAGGTTCAAAATATTATTGTGCAATTATTTAAGTGGTAGTCAAGCCATACACTTTTTCCATTCTAGTAACCAGTAACCATTATTAACTTTTTCCTGGTTAACATCGCGACATAGTCTTTACTTCAAAACTTTTCACTATATTACTCCTCTGTTTTGATTATCTTTATATCCGGAATGTAGTGGCATAAAAACTATAGTATCTACCATGGCAAAGTTTAGTGAATAATCCTGATTTTTAATTGATTCAGTAGATAGACAACTAATTAAGGATGTTCTTTTTTAGACTATGGACAGTTTGAAGAATGTCCGTATGAATATAATTATTTGCATAAGTACACAAAAAGGATCTAGTGGATGAAATCGCATGATCTTGCGGAATACACGACGGAAACGTGAAACTATGAAATAAATGTAGGGTTTGTAGCACCGTCTTGCTGAAATCATATATCTACATCCATATTTTCAATTTCATTTGTGTTGCAATGTTATAATCACATCTGAGTTTGTTTCTCTTAAAGCATTATATCCACTTATAGAAAAATACAAATATTATTTAGGTGATCTAATGTACTTAACCATATTTTAAATATTTAAATATATAATAAAATATAATATATAATAAATAAAGTAAGATTCTTTACATACCAATTATTTTATTAATGAAATATATTTTTATAACATAGTATTTTTTTTAAATCGATTTTAACATCTAATTGATTTTCATTCAAATTATTTAAATAGCATCATATTTATCTGAGGTTTGTATCGCATCGAACGCATATTTTATTTTCCATCAGAAACAAATCGTCTCACATCGAAAGAGTATGCAAGCGCTTCTGTCGCTAACAGGATAAAGACAACCACTAAAAACAAATTATTGAGGATTGGTAGTAGATTAATCAATACTTTATATTAATTTTATATGTTTTTAGGTATCTCTAAGACAATCGCAAGTATTAACTCACCAGAACAGAGAATAATTTTAGTTTTCTGTATGAACAACATTTTACTTTCGTACTGGAAATCGTTCAGTAGAGCATTGGCTTATATAGAAAAATCTTTGAGTTTATGTCGTGCTAAATTGGATAATTCAAATCTATTATTTTTATATTTTTTGCACGATTTACACGTAAAACTCTTGTGATTTTTACAATTAAAGATAACGTTTAATTTATATAATAAAGGTTATTAATTTTAAATATATGAAATAAATAGACTGCTTTTTAATAGACTACTGACTACTGTACTATCTAATAATTGTACAAATTTTCTTACTCCAAATATATATTCCCCACACCCTTCACCAAATCCCAATCTACCGTTTATTCATGCCCATGCTTTCTGACTTAAATAAACTTAGCTTGCTCGGTATTAAGCCACTTGCTCTTATCTCCCTCCCTTTTTATTACTGGAATGAAGTTTCCACAATGCTGTGGAAATTTTCTCCACACATTCCTAAGAGGTGGTTTTAGTGGGTTCAAGTATCACATTGTGGGCTTCGATGCATCTACAAATATATATTAACTTGATCATGCAGAAAAAACTATTATCTTAAAACATCGATTATAGTATAAAATTAAATGCTATTATAATAGCAGTTTCATTTCCAATTCTTTCCACTACGCACTATAGCTCTTAGTTAGCTGAAAGATTTGATTGACTTTCTGTTGATTGTCTTTCTCCATGTAGTCTTTGATCGACCTCAATTTCCCTAGAATTCATTCTAGAGCGGCTTGTGCGATTTCGCTAAAGGGTTTGCGTAGCGTATAGCGCAACAACCTATATTTTCTTTTTACGATTTGTTTATCAACATGAAGAATATAGGCGTGGTAGAAAGTGATTCCTGTGAATGAAATCAAATAGGTAAAATAAGGTCCACAGCAATTACGAGGTTTATAAATACCAGTAGTCTAGAATTGTTTTAGTTGGGCATCTAGGCGCACAATAAATCTTTTAGGTCGGGGTGTATTAATAATGGTAGGTACTACTATCGTCTTGATTACAACTTTAGTATAATGTTAACATTAAAAAGAAACATGTGATAACCATTATTAAGAATTTGCACTAGCAAAGAAATGTTTTTTAAATTGATTAAACTGTGGATTTAGTGGATATTATATATGTGAATATTATACATATCTACAGGAGAATTGTTAAGAAACTTATAATAATAACTTCATAATCACTTACGACTTTAAATTCCAACTTATAACTTTAAAATCTATATTATTTTGTTATTTATACTGATACATAATGAGGCAATGCTTTATTAAAATAGTTGAATATTTTTACATTATTACTTTTATAATTTAATATTAATTCGATTTTGAGCTTAAATAAACTTAAAATAATTAAAATAATTACATGTTCAATGGCTTATAACTAGAATACATACAATATATTAAGGTTAAACTTACAAATAAAAAAATTCACAAATAAAATGGCTCACATATAAGTGTTAGGATCTAGCGTTGCAATAATCGGAACAGAATGCAACTTAGAAGCGCTGCAATATACCATGAGAGTTGGAATTTCAACAAATTTCCACTCGAATTAGGCGCTTTTGTTGTTGGATTCGTGACAGTGTTTAATATGTCACCTAATTTGGTTATAATCTCTGGTAATGGTTTCGTCTTAATATCGCAAGCAGTATTTTCAATGGCATCCTTTACATGCGCCGTTAGAATGCGGAAGTTAATAACTGCAGGATAAAGATCAGCATAAATAAATTCTTGTAATCGATTTGAAAGTACCCAGAGACGATCTTGATCATCAACTTTAACGTCACTTGGGAAAACCATTTCTGTTGGACTCATATATACACGTCCTTGTGATTTAATGGTATAATCACGATTTGATGTCTTCCAGCAGGCGACTGCATTTAAATTTGGTAACGCATAGAATAACACACCTGTCAGTTGATCTAAAAACGAAGCACCAGCTTGTGCATTAGGTCCACGTGACCCAAGACGCTTGAAATCATGATATATATTGCCTGAAGTAGCAATTGTTTTATTTCGTAACAAGGTAGTGTTAACTGAAAATTCCATTGTAGAGCTCAAAGGATGAAAATATAAAGTAGCGGTGCCATCAGCTTGGGGCTTTGACAATGCTAACCCGTAAAGACCATCATCCCATTGAAATACAATTCCATCAATACTATAATTACCAGCTAATGGATCTGGATGAAAATAGTTATGATGTACACGCCATGATTCTTGCTGTTGCCATGAATAAACAACTAATCCTGGATTTCCAAGATCACCAGCATAAGCATATGTATTATCGCAATCACCATCCTCAACAGCTAAATTAGCAAAGAAAGAACCTTGCTTTACCTGATCAGTTGGAAAGACATAACGACGTAACAAATTATCATTATGTAGATCGTAAATGAGCAATTGTGCTGGACCATAGATTTTGGTACGCTCTAATACTCCTGAAATACGTGTATCTAATACCCAAAGACGTCCACAGCGATCTGCTCTAATGCGATACGGTGAAACTATTTCTGGTTCTGTTTCGTTCAAACTATGCGCTTCCCAACTTGGAAAAGGTATCAGTGATGGTGATTTATTTGAACTATCTGCAAATATTTAATATATTATTTTTTTAGAAATATATGTATATAGTTCATAATATATAAAATTTATTTTAATAAAATTGTACTTATATTTAAAGAAAATATTAATAAATAATTATGCTAGTAAAATGATCTAATTAGAATAGTTTCTACAATTCTACAATTGTAGACCGTGCACTTATAGCAGTAATTTTTTTTTAATTCATTCATAAATATATTAAATTATGTCTTACTTAAGGCATAAGTCAACTAAGTTTTAATTTGAAATAAGTCAAGTTTTTTTAGTTTAGTTAAATCTGAACTAAAATACCATCAAATATTCCATATCTTTATTGTTTCAAAATAAAAACTATAAATTATTTCATTAATAGTAGATTAAAAAACACAACAAATAAATAATTTGTAATACAAATGAATACATTGCGGAATACATTGAGGAAGTCACCAAACGAAATCTGCAAACAAGCGGAAGTCTCAAGGAATCAGAAGACCTGGTAGGCCCAAGCAAATGTGGAAGCGAACACTAGAGAAAGAAATCCAAGCAAGCGGAAAAACCTTACCGTACAGAAATCGTAACAGTTGGAAAAAGTTTGTTATGACCCAATGTACCCCTGGGAACGCAATGGAATGAAGAAGAATACAAATGTATAAGAAATGTTTACTTGAAACTCAATCGAAAACCAATAACTGAGAAATACCATGAAAAGACAAACTGACCAGATTTATAGATTTTTTTTAATTGGAGTGAAAAAAATTTCTGTTCAGAGGCATTTGATTTATTATAATTTTAATAATTAAAAAAAAATTGTTAGGTAAATTGAAAGTTGAACCTCAAACTTCATTGATTGTCATCATTTAAATTTCGTGCCAAAATTCTTAAAGTCTGATTTTCATGACAGTTGCATGTCATCACGAAATTATTATCATCACGAAAGTGTGATCTATTATTATTATCGTTATTATTGTACTATACATACATATGTATAATAATAAATTAATAATAATAAAAAAAAATTTTTATTTGTAATAATAAATTATCGCATCGTACTGCAAATTTATTGACACCCCGAGATAATTTGTTGATAGGAAAACCCTTAAGAAATGAAGGAAGAAATGTTATTTCTCTGAACAAAATAAGTTCAATTTTATGTATATAGTTATATATGTAATCTTCTACTGATTGATTTGTAAATTATTTATTATTTTGTATGACTAATATTTTAGTCGAATTTTATATTACTAATATTTTGTAACTCAGTAAAAATGGGTATGACAAATTAATTATTAAATGTTAGTTGATTCATGCTCGCGGCAATTAAAAATCAAACGTTATTACATATAATTTTATTTATTAACAAATGAGACTTTTGCAAAATTATTAATGTGTCATATAATAAATAAATAAATAATAACCAGAATTGGAGATTAAATGATAAATCATTAATGACAAAGTAATTTCTTGTTTATTTATTTCTTACGTAGGAGTTAAGCAATAAAAAATAATTACAATTTAACGTATTTCAAATTTACAATACAAATATAAACAAATTTTGAAAGGTTAAAATTTTAATAACAAACAACAATTTTTTGGCCTATAAATTTTAAAGCTCTACGATGAGAATTTTTGAAGTCAGTGAATTTATTTTTTATTCATTGGTATTGACAATATGAAGTTTTCCACTTAAGCAAAACCTTGAAGACATGATTAAATATATATAAAAGTTTTAACCATTTTTTTTAGGAATTAATATTATCTTTAATAATCAATTTATTGAATTTTCCAGTTAAGTGAATAAGTCAGGGACTTAGTAAATATTCTTAAATACAACACTTTTTTAAAAATCTTGCTAAAAAATTTTTTTAGGATTATCTGAATTCTAATAGTAGTAGCTTTCTTTTCCATAAATAACTGACATTGTATTAAACTTTACAGTTTGTATATATTTCAGTATATATAAATTTATATAAACTTTAAAGTTTACCATTTGCTATAAGTATCTATAGAATAACGTGAGTAAAAGAAAACCAAGTCACAAAAAAATGCTTAATACTTTTGTATCTGGAACTTCCTATTCATGTCCTAAGTCTTTGCCTAACTTAATCATTCCTTTCACTGTGAAAAATTTGTACGCGAACATTATTCTTAAGATGTATTTCAGTGTTATCATCTCATATATATCAATCTTATGATCTTATACTATCAATGAGCAATATTGGTTTTCGTTTTCAATTAACTGAAAAAGATTATATTATATTATAATAAAATTTTACAGCTGAAGAGAAATGGATATAGCCAACATAAATAAATATAAAAATACTACTACACTATTTTACTAACATTAAGTGCTATTAATTAATTATATTAAATTGTTAATATTTATATGAAAAGGAGCAAATCAGAAAGCTTCAGTAACCAAAATATAAAGGCAAAATGAAATTGGATAGGGCATATTATCCGACGACCCAATAAACACATTCCACGACAAGCTTTGACATGGAACCCACAAGGCAGCAGACGCACTGGTGCACCGGCTTTAACTTGGAGAATGACAATTGAAATAGAAATAATAGAAGCGTACGGTTTAAGAGAATCGCCCTACTAGGGAAACGAATACTAAGAAGAAAAAAATGAAATACCAGAATGGAACCACATGAGGTACTTTAAAAAATAAAATACAATAAATATAGTTGATTCAAAGGACTCTTGGCTCATCCAACTATATCAATTTCAGAACATGTAATATTATAATTACTTCATTGTTTATGGTGAAAGATATCAGGTTTAAGTATAGAAAGTATATTGTATATATATACGTATATGCTTTATTTGTAAAGAAGAGTTTACACTTTCACGTTATAAATTTAATTTAACATTATACATTATACAAACAAATTCTTATAGTACATAAATCAGCATCGTTATTGTTTCAAATTTATTCTCTTTTTTGTACATAGTTTTTGCATTTGTATTTTTGATTTTATTTTGCTATGTTTTTTTGCCACTTTCAACATTTCTTAGTAAGATTTAAATAAATTGATATTCAAAAACCTACAACAACAGTCAGTAAAGGCTAGTAACGATTGTCGAATAAATTTATCGTTAAAATTGAAAATTTCTATAAGAAACTTAAATAAAAAATATTTAATATTAAAAATTGTTGTTTAAATTTTATTTAGTTTAACAACAAACAAAATAAGTTATGTTAAAATGTATGATTTCGTAGCAGTGGAATAACAATTAACAGAGACTGGAATAAACTTTTTAACACCTGAGACCTTATTCGCAAACTAGTCCAAAAGTGGACTAGAACAGAGTTAAATCAGTATATTTAAAATATCGTTTTTCATTTCACTATTGGCATTGCTAAAGATCCCCAGTAACCTATTATTTAGTTAAATGTAATTTTGCACTAACTAAAGCCAATTAAATTCTATATGCAAAAGTGAATTTAGTTTTGGTCACTTTTAATTAAAAACTCTAGAGGGAAAGTGATGAAATATACAAGATGCGAAGCGCTTAGTATATTTATAATATGCTTGTTTTGAACATACTACAAATCAATTTAAATATTTAATCAAAAATATTACCATTTAAATCAATATATGCCAAAGAAGCGGGCACTCCATCCTTCCAACGTGGCAATGTCACAAATAGTCTATTGCGATACACCTCTAAACCGAATGGTACAACATTATTTGGCTTGAATTCGCGATTCTCAATTGCGGTCCAGCGTGCATCTGCGTTAGTATATTTAAAATCAACTTCTTTCCATTCATAAGCAACCCGTAAATTATCATTCGCTATCGCCGTTGGGACTGTCATGCAAAATACTGTGATAATGGCAACTGTCCATGCACTGCATGGCGTCTGCTGTGCCTTTAATTTATGCGTAATATACGTTTTCATTTTTATTTTTATTTTTTAAGTTTATTTACAATTAATTATTATTTTTTAATATATTTTATTGTTATTTTAATAAAATAGTTTGTTAATTATATTTTTGGAAAAAATTATTGAGAACTTGTATATCACAGTTACTATTTTATGTCATTACTAGCATCCATCCGAGGAAATTTAAAATGTATCTGTAAAAAATTAAAATCATGATATATTAAAAATAAGGAAACTGTGTAATAAACACTAAAAAATATCATAAATTTTAAATTTGGAATACATAACTTAATAATTTACAATATTTAAAAAATAAATAACATTTAATTTTTATTTCCTTAAAACGGGATTCCATTATTAGACTGAAGTTATCGCTACAATGGTTGATGCTTAAGTCTACCCTGTATTGAAATCCTAACAATATATTTAAATATCAATTCTATTTACTATCTAACTAAAACACTACCTTACAAGTCTGGGTATGCTTACGGATGTGAGAAGAATGAGGAGTCCTCCACACATGTGCTGTTAGAATGCATTGCGCTAATCCACATACGGAATAGGCTCCTAGAAATGTGTGTTCCAAGCAACAGAGCTTAGAGACCTACTCTAAATCCAGAAGGGGACACAAAAAACCCGACGGTTACAGTGCGACATCCTCTAACAACAATAATAATTTACGCTCTTTAAATATCCCAGCTATTTTGTGACCCTAAGTATTACTTGATGGTTTGACATCTGCGGACCTTCCTCGTTCACTTGAATAAGTCAAGAAACTAGTTTGTTTTACTTAAAAGTCATTTACGATCTTCGAACGATATAGCTCGTAAATCAGTGCTTGTATAGATCAAAGCAGTTTATATAACTAAACAAATATTATTTAAACTAAACTAATTTTAAAAATTACTAAAAAAATATAAATGTTAAAATATAAATAGAATGTATGATTTAGATTCCATACAAGAAAAGTTTAAATACATGAAAAATGCATTATCTCATAGGAAACTAAACTAAAACTTTTACGGAAAAAACATTTTCGATATTTACAATCTCTAGTGGAATAATAACAGCACAACCCGGGCATTAATAAAACATAATTCAAATAAATCTTTTTGTTATTGTCGGGAAGTATCGTTACTGTGACACTCAGTGATTAACTCAGCGTTCACACCGGCTAAGTTTTGGTAATATTTTTATGTTCGAATGCAAATACAGGTTACTTTCATTTCTTATCTGCGAAAAAAATGTATATGTGTTATTGCTAAAATCTTGCCAAAAGCTAGCCAGTGTAGACGCTCTGCAAGTTTGTTACTCAAGATCGTGAATACCATTATCAATGTTTTCTCTTTTAAAATTATCGAAAAAATTAAATCTGAAATGGCTTCATTGTTAGCAAATCCGATCATAAACTAAAATGTAAAACAAAATTCTGAAGAATTTATCTAATAAAGTATACAGCCATACATTCTTAGTAATACATGCATGTATATAAGAAAAAGAAAAACGAAAGTATCTACTCAAATCATACCCACAAGCAATAGTGCAATGTTAAAGATATTTGTGTTAAAATAAAGAGCTGAAAAGTATATATTCACAAATCGTTGTATCGAATTTTAATTATCTATCGCATGTTATGGTATGAAAAGTCACCTTGATATACCTAAACGAGTTTACCTGTTCGAGTTTTTAAGAAAATCTATTCAATTTGCGGTCAGCAATATTTTGTAAACTGCAAATAAATTTTGTTGTTAATAGATACTTTTTGGTACATGAGAGCACAATAACTGCACTTGACAATCACTTCAAGTTAAACAGTGAACGCGAATTGTATCAGCAAATATACTTCCAGTCTCAATAGAAATACTTGTAAAATTGCTCTAAGACTGTCAATGCCAAAAATATTAATAATTACATATCGTCATACAATTTTTTCAACAAATATTTAAGCTTTTGAGTCGATATTATGAACACTGTATTTAAGTCAGAAAAACTTTTTTAACTTTACATAATTTATTCAAATTATTCTTTAGACTGGAAACACCTAAATTAATAAAAAATAAAAAATTATTTACTTATTATTTTTACTCAAAATTGATTTTTAAAAAATATCAAGATTTATACTAACTAAAATTTGTTTATATTATTATGTATTATTAGCTATAACGTTACAGTTTTTTTGTGAACCTTTAGGTCTTCGTAGACTACGCGATCAACACAAATCCCTGTAAACTCATTTTTTATACCCTCTTCAATGCAATTCACTTCTTCTCTGACCTCCCAGTCCCGGAACTCCGAATTCAAATTTTTCGAAGCAGGGTGCCTGGGAATACATACATAATACAACTATTTAAATCAACCATATCATATCACTAACGTTCTCATTAATTGGTCAGCTAAATACCAGTCGAGAAGGAGTAACGATATCCAAACATATTTACGCAAATGAATTCTCCTTAATTACTAATTAATACCACGATCTTATTAAAATACTCACAAAGTTACAGTCCCTCTCATTAACCGATTTAATTAATGGAAATTTTTTATGGTAAGCTTTGGAACGCAAGGTGTACCACATAAGATTGTAAATATAAGTTGCAAATGCTATTAAAGCGAGAACTTAGCAATGTAACGACTTAAGTAAGGCAGAAATAATTGCTCTCCTTTTTTTACTTAACATTATTGTACTAGAAAGAGTCCCTATTATTTTCGATTGTTAAAACAGAGATCTCACAAGAAGTGTAAGTAAAAATCTTGAAGAATTGGAGACTAAAGATTATATTGTCTCGGTTTTTCATACGAATACACAGTAAAAATATAATCTATTATAGATAGAATTTGCTAAAGTCAGCTTAAAAATTAATATAACGGAAACAATCTTCACCTCAAGTATAAACTATCTGCCATTATACTGACATAACTAAAAAATAGATTTGTTGACAAGCAGTACGAAGGCAAAAAAAAATTTTTGTGATTACAAAAAAAAAATATTTTAAATTTGGATTTGAGAGGCAAAAGTTCTTCTTCCTCGGTCACGTCAATGTATCATTCCAATAATTATTCGGTGGTCAGTTTCTGATGCAGCTTTAAGTAAAATATATTTTTCTTGACATAGTTATAAACAATATACCTATGTCTTATTCAATGCGTTAGAGGCAAAATAGATTATAAGTCATTTCCACCTTTCACTTTATAGAACTTCAATATAATATAATGTAAATAACCTTCATGATATATGTAAATTTGAGTAGTATTTTTTTCAAATATTTTTTTAAGTGCAGAGTTGTTGAAATGTATCTTTCTTATTTTACTAATTCCTTTTTTTTTTGTTTTTTTTTTTTATGACGTATAATGAATTTCGCAGAATTGAGATACGTATATAGGTATGAAGGTATGATATTTTATATGTGTTCACTTATATGTGTAAACATGAACAAACCAGTCATTAAACAAAGCAAGGCAGAGAATCTCATTAAAGGTTCAAACTTCAAAAAAGCACCTCAAAAATTTCGTGTTTGCATGGTTTTTGATCAGTTCAGACTGAAAATTTTGTTTAAATCGCGAAATTTGAAATTCATAACGAATTTCAAATTCAACCTATTACTTTTCGTGATATATACAGATATATACATGTATGAAACCAAAATATATTTAACCAAAACTTGTTTGTTGTAATTCAATTATTAAAGTTTTAATTTTTTAATTTCTACTCTGATTTAGAATTAATAACATAAATGTTTCTGACTTAGTTACGACTACATATATTAGTTACATACCAATAAAAAAAAAAATAAAAGTAAAATATATGGATTCTATATATTAGATTCTATAAGGCATGTTCATATTTTAACATCTTAACAGTCACTTGTCAAGTTTTTTGTTAAGAACGCAAGTGTTTACAACTTCAGATACCAAACTTCAGATATTATGACCACATTTTACTTAGTTAAATACAAACTAAAATTAATAAAAATATCTGAAGTTCACACGATTGTTTATACAGAGAATCATAAAGCGTTGAAGTGATACTTTTATTATTGTATTTAAAATAATTTAATTATTTTAGTAATGAATAATTTTTTATAGTGAATTCGTACAACAAGACTTTGACCAGCGGAACCATTTGAAGGCTACAGCTTTTCTCTTTCTCATAGTATATATTAAACAATATTATAGATTCAAGAAAAGCTTTGAAGGCATGTAGCGATTTCTATGGTTTTCAAACGTTAAATAACAAGACTTATGCCACTCCTACGATTTCCAATAATTCTAGTAAGCAGAAACTAATATTAGTCATTGTAATAAACTAGTTCAAAGATTAATTTTATTTTTAAATACAATAAAAACCACAAATTAGTGAAACAACTGTATTGACTGCAGTCCACTTTTTGTTTTTAAATTAAAAAAACAATTTAACAATAAAAGATATACTCATATATTAAACTACAATTAAATAGTTTTAAAGAAAGATTTAAAAAATAACAACTTGCAGTGATAGAAATGATAGAAATACAGACAAATACTCAACAAATACATATTATAGAGAGATAGAGAGATATATTCCATATGGGTTATCAATATTAAACTAAATAGTAGAAATGCAGATGAAACAAAAAAATTCTTATTGGAGAAAGATATTTCAATATAATTATAAGCCTTTAAGAAGACTCTTTAACAAATACCTAGCAATAATAAATACTAAATATTCAGGATGCTTCTTCATATAAAAAATATAGTAGGACTATGCACTCTATACTAAGTAAATTGTTAATTACTTGACTTCAAAACAAATGGGAACGCCAGAACAAAATTAATTATATTTTGCATATCTAGCAAGTTTTAAGCGACAGCTGCAAAAATTTCGACTTCTTCATGCAAATTGCATATTAAAATTGCATATTATTGGATCGGTTGAATAAAGAAATCAAGAAAAATCGATCACATATATCAAAGATAAAAATTTTGTTTTAGCAAGATAATAAGTTTCCAAACTTGAAAAGATTGCTTCAAGGAAAAAGATTTGCATCAAATGATGAAGTCGAATAAGAAACTGATATATATTTTGGAGGATTTGATAAATCGTATTATTTAATAGGTAATCAAATGTTAAAAGATTGTTGGAGTCGGTGTGTCAGGCTGAAAAGGGACTGTTATCATCATCATCATCAATTTCTGTGTCTCTCATACACTCTTACTA